GTACGGGAAATTATTAGTTTTCAGGATTGTCAGTGCACGGAATTTTGTCAGTTTTGCGCAGTGGAAATGAGACTTCGAGTGCACTGCGATGATGAGGGTATTCGAGCAGTTACAACAGCCGACGTTGAAACCAGCAATCCAGACGTGGCCCCGGCCTGTGGCATACACATGCGAAATCGTAATGCTGAAGACAGTACCAGCGAGGATATTCTTATTGTGAAATTGAGAAAGGGTCAAGAAGTCGATATCAAATGCATCGCCAAAAAGGTCTGGAACTGTCTCCAAAATTTTATCGATAACAAAAATGTGTAGTATTTGTGCAGCGACAGCCGTGAGTAGAGTTTCCTGTTTGTTTACCGCCTTGAAATCATGAATAATTTTTTTTCAAAAGTTTGACGAGTCACAGATTCTAACTTAAGTACATGATCTTTGAAAGCTGGCAGTCGAGGTGATAGAAATTCAGCCATTCCTAGTCGTAGCCAAAGTTACGGAGAACACTTCGATCAAAATTTGGCAGGTATAGGGGAAAATGCAAGGAATTTTTGTTTTCCAGAAAGATTCGTTTTATATCTGGCGCATTTAATCAGATTTTTAGGGATTTGGCAAGGAGCATGCGAAATGGAATCCAACCTGTGGCGTAGCATTTGAATACGATCCAGACAATGCGCTCAGACATACAGTTCTGGCAAAGCCCGAAGAATGGCCGAAAAGTGAGTACTCGCAGTTGGAAGAAGATGAATACGAAGCACCGTTTGATCCACTTGCAAAACCAAACAAATTTTGGTTCACAGTTGAATCAACCGGAGCGCTGAAGGTAATTTATTTGTCGTTTTTCCCAGCACTTTTGCAGTGGGCGACTTTTTTTCCCACAAATTGCATTGGAACTTTGAAGGTTTTTATGTCTTGGAACACACTTGAACAATACGGCAGTTTATTAGGAAGAATATATAAGCTAAAACAGCGTTTCGATTAATGTGGGCCGGAGTCGCACGGTCTATACGGGTCGGAAAGCTGCTGGTTTTCTCGAACAGGGCTTCGCACAAGCTGCCGGTTCCACTGGTTCTGGACAATCTTGATTGCTGCCATGCGTCGACGGTATGAACGGGACAAGCGTATCCTCTGAAAGCTGAGCAACCTCGATGACGTACCTAAAGCATAGTTGACCAACACCAAACCCTGAAAAGAGTTTGCGATGCTAATGCCAGCATTAAGCCTGCTTTTTGTAATCTCTTCGATGGCCATTTAAAAAACCAAAATAGAAGGCACCGTGTGGGAGGGGATGCTATGTTTACAGACCCATGCATCTGGTCATCATTTTTTTTGTTTCAGGCAGAAAACATCATTTTGAGTGGCATCACTGTGCTGAAGAAGAAATTAGCTGATATCCAGAACCAGCTGCAAAGGGAGTTGTTGCAGCAAGGCCATGTATATCACTGATT